AGAACCCAGTGGCAGCCAGCTCCTCACAGTCACCTGAGAACCCAGTGGCAGCCAGCTCATCAGAGTCACCTGAGAACCTGGAGGAAGATGCCGTGCGCAAGGCCCACGTGGAGAAGGACTTCATTGCTTTCTGCTCCTCCACCCCACGTATGTGACTTTTAGTGGCATCAGGGATTTGTGGGCCTGAGGCCACCTTTGAATGACTCTGGAAAATCAAAATAGGTCCTGTCTCTCAATGGTCTGACAGAAATTTTGGGTTCTGACAATGTATTTTACGTTATCTTTTCTGTGCTGTAAGGACAGATTCTCCTCCCCACACACACACTTTTAAAAATTGTACTTTTATTTTGAGTATTAAAAGTATTAAACTTTGCAATCAAAGGCATACCAAATATCAGAGCAACTCAATAAAAGGAATCTCATTCACCAAACACCATTTAAACTTAAGTTCAGTTTTTTATTAAATCCATTTAACATTTTTAGTAGACATTTTGCGGATCCCAAGACTGGCTGTCCATTCTCAAATTATCAAATCCAAGCCCTTTCCCCCATATTTCCCATCTGGTTCTACATACAGTGATGCCATTTCATGCCCCAGTAGGAATGTGGATTCCCTTTGAAAGAAATAGAAAATGATAGGGTACGACTGAGTAGGTCCAACACAGGGAACAGTGGTTCCGTTTCACCTCTAGGTAATCATGCTAAGGAGCCTTACATTCGACTGTTTCTAATTTGCAAATTCTTAACTTATTTAATTCTTGTAATTTATTTAAACCTCCGTATTGAGGTATAATTGGCATACATAAAACTGTACATATTTAAATTATACAACTTATTGAGTTCAGGGATAAGTATATGCTCTTTAAACCATCACCACAATCTCTGTTGTAAACATATTCCTTCCCTCCAAAAGATTCCTCCAGCTCTCTGTTTATTAACATTAGTGTGTGTGTGTGTGTGTGTGTGTGTGTGTGTGTGTGTGTGTGATAAGAACTACTAAACATAAGATCTACCCTCTTAGCGAATATTTAATTATATAATACAATATTGTTAACTATTGTCCCTATGCTGTACAGTAAATTTCTATGATTTATTCATCTTCTACAGCTGAAATTTTGGTTCTTTCATCCATTTTGTTGTTTGTATTGTTAAAGACAACATGATGTAAACCACGTTGGATCCAGGTGGCCATTTCTGGTTGCTTACTCACTGTGTGAACACGTGGAAGTTCCTTCATCTTTCTGAGTTTCTATTCTTTTATCTGTAAAGTGGAATAATTACAGTTATGTCAAAGCTAAGAGAATGAACAAAAGGCGTATAGTACAATGTCAGCTCCAAGTATCCAGATGAAATTACTATGCAATCTCTTGTAATTCTGACATACTGACCTTTAAGTTCAACCTCTGCCAGAATTTTTGTTTTCTCTTTGTAGCAAATGAGTTAATGTCAGGTTATAAGTTCTTACCTTTAAATCTGTTATTATAATTTTTGAGCTATGCTTTTCTTTTTACAAAAGTCCAAAAAACAAAAAATAAAACATAGTGAAGACCATAATCCATGGCACACCACTCTCTATCATTGTAGATAATGTGTCCTGGAGAGACGTCACAAAGGGCTCCCTCTTCATCACACAGCTCATCACATGCTTCCAGAAATACTCTTGGTGCTGTCACCTACAGGAAGTATTTCGGAAGGTAAGCCCCTCTTTCTGCTACTAGTCATTTGTTTATTTGCTCAGGAAGAATTAATCATTATTCACATTTGAAGTGACTTTGTCAGGCAAGCAAAAGTAGAGTGGTAGCTGTTATGTCATTTAAGTGTTGAAATCTGGTTTAGAAAAAGATGTCAATATATCCCAGCAGGAGACCAAAGTAGAACAAAATGATCTAAACTATAAACTTATATGTTATGGGCTATAAGTTCTTAAAATTCCAAACACCGAAAATATTTTGAATTAATTTTCATTGCTTGATGTATTAAATAAATATGGATTGGGTGCTCTGCTATGTAACGGGCTCTATCCTGATGACAGGGGGTAAATGGGGCATGAGTACATAAGCCTACCTAGGACTCAAACTTTTGTGAGTGATGTGAACACTAAAAAAGTGGATCAATAAACAAACGTGTGATCACAGTTTGTGATAGGATCCATAAAGATATGTGAAAGAAAATTAAAATAGTACATTCTTTGAGTGGAATTGTCCAGAAGGGAAGACTTCATACTCCTTCCCCAACTTGGTACATTCCTTGTTCCTCCTCCTTATATATTTTTCTTCATAGCTCTTACCAGCACCCAGTCAGTTTTATTTTATGTGTCTGATTTTTTACCTGTATTTACTCACTAAAATGCAAGCTTTCTGAAGGCAGGGATTTGCTCAACACCTCAACATGCCTGGCACATAGCAGACATTCAATTAATATCCATTGAATAAATAGATACATGAATGAATGCATACATGCCCCCCCTTTTTAGAGAAATAGTATTGATATTAAGAACATGGCAAAGTGTAATTATTTTTAAATTCAAAATTGTAGAGAAGAGTTGTGCTATGTTGGGAAAAGAGAAATGCAACTTTGGTAGATTAGAGAAGATTCCTTGGTAACATGAGTCAGGGTTCCTGTGAATAAGGATCTAAAATGTCTAGAAATAGAGAAAGACTAGAAACACTGGATTTAGGGTAAGTGGGATCTCATTGATCAGTCCATGCAAAAGACTTCAGAGATCAGCTTGGTGGTGGGGATGTGAAAGAGTCAGTGTTCAGGCCTTAAAGACAAGATTCTGAGAATTAGGTCTCCTTAAGTTGAGGAATCAGCATTGGTGAAGTTTGAAAGTGGGGGACTTTCCTTATGTAGCTCTCATGAACAGATCCAAGGGATACTTGATTGTTAGATCTATAGGTCAGAAACGGAAAATAGAGGAAATAGAGGTTGAAAGGACTTTGATTAGGCATGAGGTATTTATTTTGAGTTAAAAAATACATTCTGGCATGCAGTGTCCATTCAAAGAGCCTGGTAGCCCTGGTTGAGTATTAGAATATTCATGGGCTTGTCACATCAACCCCAGGAGCACCCCTCATTCCTGGCATTTCCTGGTTCATGGGGCGTGATGTTTTCTTTGACTTCAAAAGAGTTATATGTCATCTAGAGCGTCTTTTTCTTTTTAGGTACAACAATCATTTGAAACACCAAGTGTTCAAGCCCAGATGCCTACCATTGAACGACTATCCATGACAAGATGCTTCTACCTCTTTCCTGGAAATTGAATATAGTAAGTATGGAGAGTTGCTGTGGGTGGGTGAAATAAATGGGAGAGTAATGCTGGCGATGAGGTCCAATAGCAATGGCAGCTGACTGCTTGGATGGTCAAATTAGTGTTCTTTGTTGGTTTAGTTTATTGATTCTTTGGTATTTTTTATTCTACTTATATGAATTTGGATTTCTCCAACTGTGTACTAAATTAATTAAGCAATTAATCAATCAAGGACGTAAGGAAATCCAAGGCAGACTATGATAAACAATGAAAGACCCATGGTAGTAGTTATTAAAATAAAAATGTACTCAGGCCTCCATTATTGCTTATATTGATTTATCTCTTATTCTCTCTCTGTCTCTGTCTGTCTCTCACTCTCTCTCTCTTTCTCAC